ATAGCAAAATGTTAGGAGACTAAAAGGATTTTCGTTGTACTTGGTCACTTCTGTCTTTGGGAGACTGAGATCAGCTACTCCTGACATGGAGTGATGGGCAATTTGAGCAACATGGTAGAACTATTGAGCAAATTTGGGAAGGAGAAGCAGTGCAGAGAGGCAAGTGTCTGTAATGCCTGAGAAACCAGAGAATCTTGGTTTTGGGGGAAGAAAATATAATTAACTTGTTGCTCTGTGCCTTTGTGAGCTGTGATGGAGACATGCTTTAAATGATGTACATAGGGAACAGTTCTTGATTCTCCCACTGATATTAAGAGGCTGGATGAAGGGAAACAGAATTAGTCGGTCAAAAGCCTAGTACAGCTCCAATGGGGATGGAGTTGCAAATTGAAACCTCTTCTTCTCTGATAGATTTTTCTCTCTCTGACATCAGGGGTGATGCATAGCTATGAGGTAGGCTTGATAGCAATTGCATACTTCCTTTACTCCTTTCATGGGAACCTGTGCGAAAGTCATGGGCTTTGTAGAATATGAAAGCATGTGCTGAGAAACTGGCCTTAGTTTTCTTAAGGGTTGGAAATCAGCATCACTTTACCTCCCTTCTCATCAAAACTTCTGTGGGGTTATTTCAGGTGTAATTTATGAAAAGCTGTGTAGTAGGTACCTCTCCAGTGAACCTCTACTAGATCGCATCCCACTGTTTGACAAGTAGTGTGGTAAAACATGTCTCTGTACAAAGTCAGATTAATCTTTTTTTTTATAGAGTTTTACGTGAGTGTTTTGCTTTGGGATTGTTGTTTCTCCATGCATAAATCTTTATTATACCAACAGCCTGCAGCCCCAGTGAACCAAAGCAAAACTCATTTTTATTCTTCTCTGTATTTATCACCACAGTGAGAAAACTCATTTGAAAAGGAGCTGGTGGGGGTTGGGTGTTGTGAGCCTTCAGTGGGCTTATGTTTCTCCCTTTTGAATTTGAATGTCCCAACAGGGCATCGTTCCATTTGGGATGATACTGAGGATGGAACTGAAAGTGGACTGTTTTTGGAAGGTGCTATGGGAATAGAGGAGAAGGTTGTGCATGCACCCATGCATGCAGTTTAGTTTGGTAGATCACATGTGCTGATGTGTGCAGGCTATGCTTTGCAGCCAGCTCAGTCTGAAGCCTCAATTTTTACTTTCTGATGTGTTGGTTTGGGTTCAGGTAGGGTTCTTCTTTAGACAGTGATGATAAATCTGCTGACACATAAGTGCTTGTAGCTTTTACCAAGTGGTGAATTTGGGGCCTCCACCCTGAGGTTGACCTCACCTAATTTACCTCTGCAATTAAAAATACGGTGTGTGTATCTACTGTCTGCACACAGTGGGGTTACTAATAAGTGTTATTTATCTGTGATGTAACAGTGTACTTTTTGTCAATGAATGCAAATAGTAAGAAAGATAAAACTAGAAGTTTTATTTAAAAAACCAATTTTTTCTGTGGAGAAAAAGCATAATCCTACTTATCTAGGTTTTGGCTTTCTGAACAGTCTACATTAATTTTCATTCACTGTATGGCTTCCAAAATCTACAGTGCGTGAAACTCAGTTCCCACCAGTGATAGCTTGAAGGAACCTCCACCGAGAGAACTTTTATTCTGACATTTCCTAAATTTTCAGTGCTTGACTTCACAATTTTAGCATCTTTTACGATGGCAATGTTATACCTATTTCTTTAGTATGAACTGAAGAAGGAAAGAGCACCATCATGGTCTCACCAGGAGATCCATCCCACAGGCTTCTGTTCCTGCACATAGCGTCATAGCTGGCAACAGCAGCTGCCTGCTGTGGTCCTAAAATGGGGGGGGTTAGTAGAGTTGTATGACTTGATGTTGCAGGGGAAAACACTCTTGAGTCGTGAAATTTCACTTAATTTATTGCCAATTAAGATAAACATATTGAGAAATAATGACAAACAATTACACGCTTGAAAAAACTCCTCAACTTCCCTCCAGACACCTTTCCTTCCCTTCCCCCCCGGCCAGTCTCCAGTCTGCTCCCCACACATTATACTCAGTCATGGGGGTCAGTGTGGGGTCCTTTCCTTTTTCTGCCACTCTTTATTTCTCGCTCTTTTTTTTCCACGGCTCCAGTGCGGGGTCCTCCACAGGCCGCCATACTCTCAAAAGTGTAGTTCCTCCTGGATATCCATGTGCACAAGCATCCCTGCCTGCTGCACAGGCCTTGCCTTTTTCTCTGGCGTCTCCTGCCCAATCGGCTACTGCCAGTAGGTCCAGTTTCTCTAAAACCGGTAGCCAGATCATATCCTAAACCAAACCATTCCCCATCTGCTGTTAAAAACGTTGTTCCTCAGGCTCTCCTTTCTCCTGCAAAGTCATTCCCTGGGCTTGTATGTACTGTCTCTGTGCTGGTGAGTGCAGAGAAGGGAGGAAAGCTTTCTTCAGAGCACAGAAAAAAACAGGTCCCTGAATTTTACTTCCCTTCCTGGCTATGCCCACTGTTCCCAGGGCATGTCCTGTGAAGTGGCCATTGGCTTTGAGGGGATGGCAGAAAGGCATTGTGCACATGTGTGGGTGCCATAGGAACAGGGAAGATGCTCTGTTGCAAGTTGTCTGGTCACGCGTGAGCTGTGGGAAGGATGTGAGTAGGCTTTTTATGGTTGTAGACTTTGAAGGTTTTAGCTGTCGAGCCCTCTCATCTCTATTGGATGAGTGAAATGCAGTTTTTTGAAGGCTAATAACTTTCCCACAAAAATCCACGCATAGTTGGGTAAGACGAAAGGCACGTACCTGAAATGCAGCTACACATTGGTTCAGGTCCCTACTCTAAACATCGGCACATGAGAGGATTTGAAATTAAGCCACCAGAAATTTAACCTGGGCAGAATAACATACTTTGCCCTGCTTCATTCTTAGAAGTGACTGAAGTGCTATTTTTGAAGTTCTTCCCAAAGCTTTTATCCTTTAGACAGTAACAAGCTCAGAACATATAAGCATAGTCAATTAAGGTTTGGCAAAATTATAAGATGATTAAACTGGGGTCAGCGTAGGAAACGCTGATCACTGCTTGTAATGGGTATGAGTCCTTCCTTTGCTTAATGTAATCCAGGCTATGCCCATGAATTTCACAGGGAGACAGTGGTATTCACATGTATATTTTGGAAAAGCCATGATTTATGGATAAGCAAAAAAGTATCCCACAGCCAGATAAAATATACTAAAGCGTCTGTGCATCTTTGCAAAGAGGGATGTGCTTTGTCCTGTTTCAATTAATACTATGCAGCATGCTAAAATCATAAAAAGTAAGAAAGCTGCACCAAGGCTGGTTTGCAAAGCTGTACTGAAGATTGGTGCTGGATGGTAATGATATGGATATCAGCTTGGCTCACGAGTGAGAATGAGTTCTGTGATTCAAAACTGGGCAGTAATAGGATCCAGTATTAGGGTCAGGCAGGTGTGAAGATACTAGTGATGAAGATTTGAAAATAAACTTTAATTTAAGACTCGTAGGGCAAAATGCAACGAGTTCTGTAGATAATGTAATTGTACTAGTGGAGAAAGGTATTTTCCCCTTCTTGACCTTTTGCCCTCCATTCAATCACAGAAATCCATAGGTTCAAAGGTTTGGTTTTGACTTACCAGGCAGTGAAGAAGCTCTGATAAGGCTTTGTAGCTATTAAACTTTCATAAGTTTTGCAGCCTTGTGGGTGAACCTACAGAGACTGTAGCTTTTTTATTCTCTTGGGGATGGAATTTCAATTAAGTCAGTGTTGCTCAGTATTAGGATTCCAGCCTTGCAGGCTACTAAGTGTATGGAGTTTGTGTTGTAGGGAGCAGGACCTTTGCCTGAGCCTAAAAAGTTTCCAAAGTGACTGTTTCCTTCACCCATCTTTGCAAAACTCAGTTTCTTTTAATGCTCTGATAGCACTTGTTCTAAAGTCTGTGCAACTGCTGTGACCCAGCCAGCATCTTAATAAAAAGCAGAGAATATGGTTTTTCAGAAGTCTTTGGCATTGCCAACACGTCCTCTCTCTGAAGTCAATCACAGCTGAAGGCTTTAGAGAATCTACCAGAAATCTCTGTGTTAAAATTTTTTTATCCACCCCTTTGAGCTTTTGACTACTGGGTTTTAGACAGTTCCATGGCTTATGAGGAGAAAAAGAGATGGACCAACTTTGCTTTGATGTCTTCAGTACAAATCAACCCCTTTCAGTTGAAACCCATGGGTAATTTGTGTATCTGCCAAAAACTGCTCATAAAGTGAACTTGGCATACAAGCTTTTTTGGTGTGCTTTTCACTTCTCCCACAATTCCCTTTGAAAAGAGCTATGACCTTATGGTTTATGGACCAGGCTACCTTCTCTTCCAATGACAAGTCTAAGCTGTGGATTTTGCTGATATCTTGTTAACTGGAAAGATCTAATGGGAGAAAAAATAAAGAAAACCTAACCTGGGAAGAGTCATAGAATCACAGAATTGTCTAGGTTGGAATGGACCTTTAAGATCATCAAGTCCAACCATCAACCTAAAACACTGCCAAAACCACCATTAAACCATGTCCCTAAGCACCACATCTACCCATCTTTTAAATACCTCCAGGAATGGCGATTCCACCACTTCCCTGGGCAGTCTGTTCCTCAATGGTTACTGTCAGATAGAGGACTGGCCTGCTGGGGGGACAGATCTTTGTGGGGTTTTATGCTGTTTTACTGAAATCATTGATATTATGTATCACTGATCACAGTCACATCAGCCATCCATATGCCCAGATACTGTTGTGTTTCCTGACTAGTCCTTTACCTATTTTTCAGTTGTTGGATGTTGCATGCCTTCTGTTCTGCTGTAACACAGCAGCTTTGCATCTTGATGCCTGTATGACTCCCACTCCCCATTCTGCACGATCTGCTGAATGTACTTATTGTGCATCCCGAAAAAGCTGAAATAGATATTGATGGTTTTCACTTTTTTGTTTTTTTTTCCCTGTCCCTTCTTCTCTTGACAGTTTTTTATTATGCTGTTAATTATATTTCTGTTGGAGCTCACTGTTGTGATTCTGTTCTTCGTCTACACCGACAAGGTAAGTCAGATTCTTCATTTTTCTTTCCCCTTCAGCAAATTTTTATGCCCCTCTTCCCTATAAATAAATCATGAAGCACTTGGCTTGGTATGCACATCATGCTTCTGTCTTCCTTGAGACACCCCTCTCAGAAGGAGCTCTCAGAATGCATAAACAGCCTTGCAGGACTGTGCTCTCTTGCTTGCTCATGTGTACAACTCAAGGTCACAGATATTGCCAAGTGCATCTACCATTTAAAAAAAAAAAACAAGCGCACCAAAAACCTCCACAAAAAGGAAAGAAGCCAACAGAGCCTTACTAGGAACATGTAGGAAGAGACACCCATCAGAACAAATAGGATTTTAAAAAAATACGTTTCCCATTTAAGAGCCACATTAATGTTACAAAGAAGGTGACATTAGCACAGGCAAAGGAACACAATTCATTATCTTTCCAGGTTGCTCCTTGTAGCATATGTGTACTCAGTTTCTAGTGGAAAGCCAAGGTAAATGTATAAAAGTTTAATAAACAAAGCTTTTGTTTGTGTTTTCAAATTTTGCTTGTGTTTGACTTTTGTTCCTGTGCTCACTTGGCATTTCTGTTGCAAGGGCAAGATTGCCTATCTGACATCTTAAAATATTTTTTCTGAAAAAAAAATCTTACATTAATAAATGCAAAACAAGGGTATAATTGTGCGTCACCTGCCTTTTCAGTCAAAGGAAGCTTGAAAATCACAGGGTAGGTGGCCAGATTTTGCCATGAATTAACACTCATCAGGTATATGACCAATAAACAGCTTCTTCTGGAACGGAAAGACAAAATAGTGAAAAATAAATTAAAATTAACAACACAAAATATCAAAATAAAATTAAGATTAACAGTAGACGTAGTTATATTCAGTATGTTTAGCAATAACCTGGATGCGGAGTGGATAAGATATCAACGTTACTTTCTCGAAAGGCTGTGAATTAATTTATGCACACTGTAAGTGATTGTCAGGTGCACTTCTGAAGGACTGAAACGAGCTAGGTTGCTGGACGTCATGCTGTAGCTGGAACATAGAATTAACTTGCAAAGTAATTAAAGTAGAAGGGGCAATTTAAGATTACTTGTATGCATTATTGGATTCTGAATTACTTGTAACCTCTTGGGAGAAAGATCTACACGTCATACATGACAGCTTAATAAAGGCATCTACTTAATATGCAATGGGCCTCCAAAAACCAAATACAACACTTGGCATATATTTAGAAAGAGAATGAGTTAGAAAATATTATCGTGTTGTTGTATAACTGGACGGACTCTCCTCACTGTGAATTTAATTTTGTTACTTCATTTCAGGGTAACAGAAACAATTAGAAGCACTAGAAAGGTGGCAGAGAGTAGTCATAAAGAGGGATTATGGATACTACCGTGGTTCAGTTTGGAAAAGGAAAAGATCCTCTGCTTAAGAGATCTTAAGATAATAAATGGTAACAGTTTTGAAAATATTGACATACTACATACCTGTCTTGAACACGGAAGAAATACTTGAAAATATTAAGGAGTAGGTTTGAAAGATAAATGTTATTTATGCTCCACATCATCATCTTGTGGAATTCCCTACTGTTGACTGTTGTTGAGTCTGATAGTTTGATAAGTGTGTGGGTATGGAGGAAAAAAAAGAAAAGAAACATTTTTATTCATAAAGCCATCAGTGCTGTTATGTTGACAAGTGTGTCACAGAGAATGTTGGTCCTCGCTCTTCAGAGGTAAAAATAGTGAAAAAAGGGTGTCAGGAAGGATTCCCTCCCTCCTCCGGCCTGTTGGTTTGTAGTGGCTTTTGTTTGTTCTTAATAAAGAAATCAGGAAATTTAACCTTCCTCTGAGTCACATACTGTAGGTTGATGCAGAAGGTATGCTGCAGTTGTCTAAGATCAAAACAGAGTCTAAAATAATGGGCTCCAGTTCAAGTGCAGTTTTACTGAGTTAAGCAATCGCTGTAGTCTGTGTATTGTGGATGATCAAATTTGAGGCTCTTAATGTTCCTGTATAGCTTTAAATCCATGTTCTTATACTGAGGAAATCAATAGTTTGTTACACTTACAGTCCTGCCTACAGAATAAATAAAACAGCAGCAGCCTAGAACTAGTATATTCGTACAGCATGCTTAGAATTTCTGTGCTGGCTTTCCTCATGCGAACAACAGTATTGCCATGCGCAGTGGTATGGAGAAGTAGCTAACCCAGGCAAGTCCACCGCAGTAATTCAGTTAATGCAGTTGCTTGGAAAATCAGTGAAAGAACAATCTACACTAACAGTTGTACATCAGAAGAAAGTAACATTCATTTTGTGTGCAAAACCAGAAAAAGACTCTTCAGATTAAAGACTTTGAAGGCTCCTCCTCCTATGTCATTCACATCTCTCTCTCTCTCTCTCTCTCTATATATATATATATATAAAAACCTCAGTTTTTTCAAATACCTGGTAGCCTTCTGTTAATTAGGAGTGTATGTATGTGTAAAATTCTTCCCAGGATAAAATGGGGCCAATCGTTATTTTCTGTTTCCGGCTTGAGAAGAGGTTGAATAATGGATTCCCTGGCACTTTTCATTTACTCCTACTTTGTCATGTGGAAGGATTTTGGAGTGGATACTTTGTCCCTCGCTGAGGAGTTTAATCAATACTCTCCTCTTTCCATGAAGCAGGGTGGTGTTGTTACCCTATTTAGGTGGAAAGGAAGGATAAGAGAGTTGCCCAAGACTCTGCAGGCAGCTGGGGCTGATTCTAAATTTAGAGCTCTCGGTGTTTTGGCTTATGGCAAGGGCTTTGAGAGACTGAGCTGTGCCGATGGCAGGGCTGGGTATTGCAGCTGATTTAATAGCACTTGTCCAGTGAATGATGTCCATTTTGTTCCTTCTGCTGTAGAATGGGCACAGTAGCAAGCTGGTGCTTGCACTGCAGTATCAGCCACAGGGTGAGCATGCACCCAGGTGACGCACCCAGTCACGTGAATGAATGGTTTTGTGAATGCCCACCCATCTATAGCTTGAATATTCTCTTTTATATGTTTTATTGTTATTCCATTTATATAGAGCAGAATTTGACATTTTTATAAGTTGATCATTTCTATGTGAGGCTCCATATGTATTTATAAGAGATCTTAATTTTATTGTGATAAAGAGAAAGCAGGAGGGCCCTATCCTGTCAGAGGCTCCTTATATTTCTCAACACCAGATTGGACCCTGTTAGAATATAAATTATGCTAATAAAATGCATAGTCTTGTACCGGTTCTAACTTGTATAATCCTTCTGGTTTTAGCATCTTTATGTATTTTTACTGTGATGATTCTCCTGGAGGCACAGAAAAAAAAGTCCATATTTACTTTTTTGCAGCTGTAATACATGATTTTTTTCAGCAGGCTTGTTTGTTCATATGTCTGCATTTTTTCTTATTTATAGGCAGAGCTATGGTACCACTGTTTAATGCCCACAAATGGAAGAACATAACTAAACCACCATAATGTGGTCTTTTTTCCCCTTTTCTTTTTGAAATGTTAAACTGAGTAATACAAGCCAGTTTAAGGAACAAAAGCACTGAAGGATCACTGGCTATGATATTTGATTATGGCAGCAGTTACTGCTATTGGCAACTCAAAGTTAAGACCAGAATTTTCCATAAAGACTAGGCCATTAACTCACTTGGGGTCCCTGTGAAAATTACAGCTTAAATTCCATGTCTGCTTGGCTGTGTTGAAAATGGCCCACAGAATGATAGAGGATTGAAAAATAATGGCTACTGCTGTTTTTCATGAGATGTGTGAAAATGCTCTTGTTTTCTGTGTCGCAGTAAATTGTAATGAGTTCCTCTATAGCTTTTACTGCTAGCTAATAAAAAATATGGTCTGTAGATTGATGCATTTCTTGCTTTGTTTCTCAAAACATTTTACAAATTATTGTAATTGCCGATCGATATTTTGCCTGGTCCTGTACACATTGTAGGCAGCAGACTGGAATGTAGTGGGTATGATTTCAAGTATAGCTCAGTCCTCACAACCTCTCTCACATTTGGTTTTAAAGATGAAGTGGGAAAACTGGATCTCTTTCACCTTCTGCACTCATGAGCAGTTGCTTACAGAAATGATCTGATGCTGTGAGCCGCTTGCCAATATGAGGAAGGGGTTCACAATCAAGCTGAAGAAATTATTCATACAGAAAGTTTAGTTCGAACCTGCTGCAGAAACTGTTGTTCTCATTGAGCATCTGACCAGAGAACTTAAAAGTTTTCCATGTTTGTTTTTGACAGACCTTCAGCGGAGCAGGATGTCTGCTCAGGTAACAAAATGCCTCGTGTTCCTAGTCAGCCTAGCAGGCAGGACTGTCCAAGGCTCACACAGAGATGATATTAATCTTTTTGAAAATGGAGAAATGGAAGCTAAAATGAAAGGACAGGGTCATCCAAATTGTACGCAGTTTACAGATGGTTTTAAGTTATTGGAAAGCAAGCGGCTTTGGAAAGTCCTGCAAAACTGGCAGGATGGTCACTCTCCACTGCTCTTCAGTCAGATGGCCTGCCTCTTCTACCAGCATTTCTTCCTCAGCATTTGACTTTGCCTACACAGTCCCATTGTCGCATGTTTTAAAACTTCTTACTGTTGAAACTTTTGAGTGGTGGTGGTAGAAATATTGGGTCCCTGTATCCCCCTTTGCCACAGCAAACATAGCTGTTCCTGCTGCTGTGCAAGGCTGGGAGAATTTCAGAACAGTATCTGTGTGGGTAGTATCTGTCTTTGTTGGCGTGCAGAAGACTCTCAAGAGGCCAAGGCCATTTTTAACTGTGGTATTTCTGCAGGGATATGCTGCATTAACGTAACATGCTTCAGAGTGTGCAAGTCCTGGTATGTGTGTGCAATGGTTTCTGAGCAGCCCGTGTGTTAATGCTTTATTTTTCAGTTAGAGCTCCATTTGTTTAATTTTTAAAAGGGCTCTCCACACATTGAACAGTTCCTGGCATGTACCATCTGTCTGGCAGTGTTCTGGAG